TGGGAGTAAGGTTAAACCGACTTTCTTGAGATGTCAAAATATTATTGGGATGTCACGCTTTCTCTTCCTGATATATTGCCACCTCACCACACTACTACCCACTTAGAAAATCCGTAGGGGGACGTCCCCCGCCCTTCCACATTTCTTAGTGTGGATGCCACTATGTGCGTGTTCAAGTTACGCGTTGTTCAAGAACCCCACGAGCGGTGCTACATGGTTCTATGTGTTACTTATAATTTACAATTATACCCACCTGAGTAGTCCGATGATCAGAACATCAAGGAGAACTGGCTCATAAACAGCATCCTCCTCCAAAAGCTGACCTATTTTTGCCATTTTAAATGTCCTGATAGCCTGGAGATGGAGAGAGCGGCAGAGGACAAAGTTAGTTTTCATAAAACAAAACAGAACTTCACAAAGGTAAATAAAAGACACTGAAGATCATTGGCTATGGAAAATACATAGGGCTGGAGAATTGGCCAGAGAAAGAGAGAATTTCAGGCGTGCTGTAGTAAGATCCATGTTCTGTAAAGGGGGTTCTGAATATTGATGAGAAATCGTAAGGGGGTTGGGGCGCACTGCTTTGTGTCGAGCCCCGTAATGTTTAATAGAGAGCCAATTGATAAATATCGAAATTCTGTGACACATCAATATATGTTAATAGATTTCATCATGTTTCTCAATTATGTTTTCAGATATACAATATAGGGTTGGTTTATTTATTATAATTTTTCCTCGCAAGAATTTACCTTTACCTGATTACCAGTTACCTTTACCTGGATTGTCACCTGTCCACGCATGCGCACTTACAACTGAGGAATCGAGGAATCACTTCCGACCAGGAACTGAAGGAGAAGAGAAGACAGTGTTTGTTTGTAGAAGTTTGAGCAAGGTAAGTTGTCACCTGTTATTGTACCATTCAGCATTCGCAACCCACCAGAGATCCGGACATATTTTCTTTACCGACTGTTTGCTTACAGCTGCCTAACCGTATACTCTTGTTTTTGAAGAAAAAAACTCAGATTTGAGTTAGACGAAAAACGGAGCTTTTATGCCATAAATTATGGGTTACACTACACTTACTTAAAGTTCCACCCGTGTGCAATCATGTTGAAGTTGATCTGTTGTTCAGAAACCTCGTATTCTCTGTTTGGTACAGTATATCTGTTAGATCTACTCTATTTTTGTTTTTAAATGGTGTCTCACTTACTACTTAGTCATATTGATTTACTTATTTGTTTGATTTTGATTTTCACATTACTGAAGGTTAGCAGGTAGTCTGTTATGACTTACATCAGTTACTGTAGTTTTTAGTTAACAACTAACAGTTAGTTAGTGACTTACTGCTTGAGTAACTGTAGTGTTTAGTTAACAAATAACAGTTATTTAGTGACTTACATCAGTTACTGTAGTGTTTAGTTAACAACTAACAGTGAGTTAGTGACTTACTGCTTGAGTTACTGTAGTGTTTAGTTAACAACTAACAGTGAGTTAGTGACTTACTGCTTGAGTTACTGTAGTGTTTAGTTAACAAATAACAGTGAGTTAGTGACTTACTTCAGTTACTGTAGAGTTTAGTTAACAACTAACAGTGAGTTAGTGACTTACATCAGTTACTGTAGTGTTTAGTTAACAACTAACAGTGAGTTAGTGACTTACTTCAGTTACTGTAGAGTTTAGTTAACAACTAACAGTGAGTTAGTGACTTACATCAGTTACTGTAGTGTTTAGTTAACAACTAACAGTGAGTTAGTGACTTACTTCAGTTACTGTAGTGTTTAGTTAACAACTAACAGTGAGTTAGTGACTTACTTCAGTTACTGTAGAGTTTAGTTAACAACTAACAGTGAGTTAGTGACTTACTTCAGTTACTGTAGAGTTTAGTTAACAACTAACAGTGAGTTAGTGACTTACTTCAGTTACTGTAGAGTTTAGTTAACAACTAACAGTGAGTTAGTGACTTACTTCAGTTACTGTAGAGTTTAGTTAACAACTAACAGTGAGTTAGTGACTTACTTCAGTTACTGTAGAGTTTAGTTAACAACTAACAGTAAGTTAGTGACTTACTTCAGTTACTGTAGTGTTTAGTTAACAAATAACAGTGAGTTAGTGACTTACTTCAGTTACTGTAGTGTTTAGTTAACAACTAACAGTGAGTTAGTGACTTACTTCAGTTACTGTAACTGTAGAGTTTAGTTAACAACTAACAGTAAGTTAGGGACTTACTTCAGTTACTGTAGAGTTTAGTTAACAAATAACAGGTAGTTAGTGACATAATTCAGTTACAGTAGTGTTTAAGTTTAACTTACAACTAACAGTTAGTTACTTTGTAAGATAATGAATAATGACGATGAGCTGTTACGGTGACCATCTCTTAATTAATAATATAACTGTTAACTATTGTTACACTGTGGAACAGTTTCTGATTTTCTTCTGTTGGGTTGGAGTCTCATCCGAATAGAGTGTTGTTAAGTATTTTACTTTTACTTAGTGTTAATTTTATAGTATGCACCAATCTTAGAGGAGTCACCGTGGCGGAACGGCTAGACACTCCCTGCAGATCAGAAGGTTGTGGGTTCACCCTGACGGAGCCGGACTTTTTTTCAAATATGACCTTAGATCCCAGGTCGACCCAGCCTTGAGTGGGTACCAGGTGCAGTCCTGGGAAGTAAAGGTGGCGGGCGTGATGCTGATCTATAAAATTTAAGTCTAGCCCGATATGTCCTATACGGCTAAAGGCGTGGAAAAGAGACCTTTACTTTATTACTTTACACCAATCCTAGAGGGATACACAAAAACAAAAAAAACAGGAAGTGACTAGAATTGGCCTGATATGCATGCTGGGGCCATCCTGTCTCTTTCTGTACCAGTACCAGTGAACTCTTTATCTGTTTATGAGTTTATGGAACACTCCATACATGATACTGTACACACACAGGATTTTCAACTTTTCGACATTGTTGTAATGGAGAATACAGGAAAAGGACTCATTCAACATCAAGGAGACGAAACAGTGGTTATAGTTTGAGGTCTTCAGCAATGGTTCATTATCATGGCACACAGGTAGTAACCCATAAGTGCAACATATTTCTTCTAACTCAAGGCTGGGTCCAAAGAAGCTCAGCACAGTGCACAGGCTCTGTAGCACCGGCGAGGATCCTGAAATACTTTGGGTAGATTTTTAACTCAAAATTTTGTCTGGGCAGCGCCGTTAGGCTACTTTTTTTTATTTTATTTCCGACTGCCAAGGGATTTTTTTATGTGCGCAACAATGTGTCCGATCTCACTACCCAGAGACCAGGGGAAATTACAGAAGTTCAAATCCATGTGAAAAAGTCCAGCCCTTACCGGGGATTGAACTTGAAACCTCTAGCACTCAAAGCGGACACCATGCCTCGAGACTACACAGCCCCCTCATTGGTTATAACATAAAAGAAAAACAAAACAAATAGGGTTGCTACCAACTATGTGAAGATTACAATATACTGCAGAGTGCTCAACTCTATGCCCATGAGTTTTGATTTTGACAGACTTGGCTTGCATGATTTCCCTTTACAAAAATGGCAGAGTGGATGTGTAAAGAAAAAAGGCAACTCAGAATGTAAGATATGTCTAATCCTTACAAAAGTATATTACTTTTCACTTGTGGGTAACTATTACATCCTATGCAAATGACATTTGAAACGGGTCCTTCTGGTTTACCTCATCAGAACTACTCTGTCCGCTGCCGCTGATGTAAATTTACCATCCAAATTATTTTCCGAACACTTTGTTTTCATTAACATTATAAGAGTAAGAGTCGACTAATGGGTAGCTTCTTTTGAAGTCAGAGTGCATCTGCCGGAGAGGCAAGGAACCAACAGTCTGTATTCAAGAGAATGAGATCTGTAAAACTGATGCACACGCAACACACAGGTTCTGGAGCAGGACTGCAGTTCAGTAGTGGACGATCAACCAGAACTTTCCGCCAGTGTACAGCTGGTGACCGCGAAGAAGAAGAAGAAGAGCTTTAAAGGCACATTTTGCGGCCGGTGCTTGTGTTTGGAACGTTGGTATCCATGACCAGATGAAGGCGAAATCAGAAAATTCACTGTCTGAAAATTACACTAGCAAGGAATTGTAGCATTTTCTGCCTAAACATGTGAACAAAGACTTGTAAACAAAATAAAAACAGTATCAGTAACCTTTCCTGAATATTATAATAGTAGCTCGGACCATTAAAAATAAGTACGGAGCAGTATGCGAATCATTATGTACGGATACACGATCGACGTAGACAGTGTGGTTTGTCAGATCAGAACTTCTCACTCAACACACACAGCGTTACTCGGGCCTGAAGGAGTTAAACTTATAAACAAGTTCACATATTTGAGGACAGTTATAAGTTATCATCTGATGGAAAATGTGCATTTAAATTATTATTATTCAGGCGAAGGTTGCATTTCAAAAGGAAAATGGTATTGCGCAACAGGTCATTAAACTTCAGAAAACAAGTACTAAAATGTTATACTGAACCGGTGCTGCAACATGAATGGGAGTCTTGGAATATAAATCAACGCGTTAATAAGAATAAGAACCTGGAGCATGTAAAACTTAACAAAACCAAAGTCCAGAAGTGGATGAGCAACCAGAACTGTCCACAAGGCTGGTGGATGCGAAGAAGATAGAAGTGTATTAATTTTTGAGTGTGAAATTAAACAAGTTTTATTTTGTTTGTGTGGTGAAATAAAAAAAATTACGTATTTTTACTTTAGGTGACATTGAAAAATAAAATAATAATTTTTTTATAGGCGAAATGGAAAAAACGGATTTCATTTTTTATAAGTAAAATTTGGAAACAATTATTCAATCTAATTTATAGTTGAAATGGGGAAAACCATTTAATTTTTTTTTCAAATATTTGAAATGGATGAAGAGTTTCATTTATTTTATAGATAAAAATATGTTTCATTTATTTTATAGGTGAAGTGAAGAAAGCGTTTCTTTGTGAAGCCGTCATCATGTCGACTCCAGGCTACCCAGCATACTACTATGGAGACTCCCACACTGGCAGTGTCTCCAACCTCAGCGAGGGGGGCATGAAACGATATGCTTCCAAATCCAGTATTGCTGGGGCACAAAGTCTCACTGGATCCAGGTAAACAGGAAACATTTTACATTTAATTTGTAGAGCCCTTGAATCCTGATTTATTCTTGATCTTTAGATACATTGTTTGCTTCTGAGTAGTGGGGAGGGGGAGCATTGGAAAGGTCCTTAGTATTTCATACAGAGACCACATCACAAAGAATGGAGAATGCCACTTCATCACACAGTACATTGGTCAATATGAACCACTTGTGTCAGTAGTAATAAAATAGAAAAAGCAGTGGAACTGATATGTAAACAAGATCTACTCACCTTTCCACTACAAGGCTGTGTAGAGAAGAAGCAAATCAAGAAATAAGTGGATACAAAGTTTCATTAGTTTTATAAAAGTTAGTTGTTTATCCTTTACATGACGTTGCAGATCCAACTCCAGCATTATTTGTGTTGTGATTTTTCTATTCAAATTGTACATTCACTAGTTTGCCATTGCTTCTAAAAGGTCAGCTTTCGGTACCAATGCCAAGCCAGCGCAAGACAAATCGTTTGCAATTGGTATCGAACTTGACATTACGAAGCGCATTCCCAATGCCTAAACCACAGACACTGGTTGATTGGATGGGCCTAAAATATGAAAATGCCAAGTCGATTGCAAGTTACTGACAGTGATGGAGCAAACTTCTCAGACAGTCTACAGCAACTGGTGACCCAAAGTCATGCAGTGTTATGAGGCTGTGGTGACAATGAGTGGAAAAGGAAAAGCTAAATTTTCACATTATGTTCCCTGTTCTTATCATAATCATTGCTGTGTTGCAAGTCCTTAGAAGAAGGTTGTTGCAGTCACTGCCGGAAAATGTTTGCTTGCCTAATTCCCATGTCCTCTGTATTATCATGCACAAGATGCCTCCCGTGATTTTGTTACCAGGATCTTCAGGCCAGAAAAGAACCTAACACTGCTGCCAGTCAAGTATGTCATAAGAGATGATTCCTTCCTCCTCTTAGCACTCACTGAATGTATACTCCTGTGGAAACTTCAGTACTTTGATCATGCTGCAGAAACCATATGAGGAAAAAGAAATGACTATAGTAAAGAAGTTGGCTACCTCATTTAGAAAGAAGAAGAAAAAGATCCCACCACAAAAGTTATCCATCCACGTGCAAGTCCAGATTGGATTGGCATAAACTGGCTGAGGATGGCCTTTACTCCAGTGGATGATTTTTATGCTGGCAATTCCTCACCTCTTCTTCTGTGAAACATCTTCTTTTTCAGCAGCCAAGATTTTGAGTTTTATTGTTGCAGATGACATCTGCCTCTTTTGGGGGGGGGGGGGGGGGGGCACTGTTTGGCCTTATTTTTCCATCTGGTGACTCAGTGTCTGTAGGTGTACACGTATGATCTCTCAATGTTGTTGGTCTGCCTCCTGGTCTACTACCATTCAGCTCTTTTAGTCTGTCTGTTATCTGTCATTCTTTTTAAATGCCCCTACCTTTTCAATCTCACGAGGCCAGTAATTACAGTTGATTTAAGCAGATGAGTTGATGTTGTTCCTAAAACTAGTGGCACAACTCCACGGACCACAGGGACTAACGGATGTCTACATTCTCATTCACAAATAGTATTATGATTTCATTGATGCTTTTCGCTCTCCTTTATCTGCTGTTTGCATCTTTATGGGTCTAAATATTCATCATAAGACCATGTTCTTCTACTGCTTTCATCCAAAGATGTAATTGTGTTGTGCCCGTTCACAGCATGGCTGCAATATCTGCACCTTTCAGCCAAAACATCCGACTTCTGCGGGCATTTGTTGACCGGATTAGCCTTCCTGGTTAGACTATGTTCTAAACAGTTTGAAGTAAGGTGTCATTTTCTTTTAGTTGTACTCACTGAGAGGCATGGAACCAACAGTCTGCACCCAAATATGCCTTATCTGTAAAATAGATGTGTACATACTTTTCAAGTCCTGGAACAAAGCCAAAGGTAGGAAAGGTATGAAGAACTATGACTTTCCGCCAGAGTTTAAAGCAGGTGAATGCAACGAAGAAGTTATTTATCTTTGAATGTCCTGATAATGGTGTCATTTAGTAAGTGCACTTTGACAGCGAAGAAAACTGATTTGTTTGGTTGTTTCAGATCGTTGCTCTATGGCAGCAGGAGAAGTTTGTACTCGACTTACACTATGTCAGGCATGTCCTATGTTCTACCAGTCGTTGCTAAGCAGCCAGACCCCTGGAGACGCCCTGCTGACAATTGGCCAATTGCATTCATGTCGTTGTTTGTTAACCCAATCTTTGGCGTGTTTGCCATATTGTTGGCCGGTATGTATAACTATCTTTTTGCCTGTATTTATGACTTTTATTTTTTTAAAGAGAGTAGAAACGCCTGAGGATTTAAGGTTTGTATTTCTAGTAGAGATGGTGCAGGTTAGAAGTTTTTCTTTGCTCCAGAAGAAAAAATGTGATACCCTTATCAAGGATTTAAACCTGGGTCTCCCAAATGAGAGCGTGTCATTGTTAACTACTCGTCTAGCAGCTCCTTGGTTGATGTCTGTAGTAATCTAAACATATTACAGCAGTTAACCCCTTTTCCCCGAAAAGCCCCCAAAAATCTGGCCCTTCTGGTTGTTTCCATATCCCTGTAAATGTCACTTTTCAGAAATGTGGCCCGACTATGAGACCCGTAGTGAAGGCTACTGGCTGATTGTACATCAGTGTGTAGGCTTAGGTGGTCAGGATATGGATACATTAACTGACAAAACTAGAGAATTTTAGTGAGGGGGGGGGGGTGTCTTTGAGCTAAATGCTTTTTTTAAAAGGTCAGGTTAAGGTCATTTTTCTTGTAAGCCTCAGTGATATAGGTCACAGCTTGAGTCACCTGATACATGTGGAGTTTTAGCCTCAGGATTATATCATCCATTGAAATATTTTCCCTGTTCATGTTTATTGATCACTGCTTTTTATTTGTTTTGATTATTTGATTACTAACCTATGTAAAAAAAAAAAAATGTTTTCTACAGATTTTTTCCTGGAAATCTTGTGGGGCTTCACAGGCTAAAAGGGTTAAGACACAACTTTTCAGTTTCTGAAAGTTGAATTTAGTTCAGTCTTAACCTCACAGCACTCAAGGCTTTCCCAGAAGCACTTCATCCTTGACACCAGTGGCCAGTGCAGATTCTAATACCAGTGGTGCCACTAGTGGTTTGACATGTCCACCTTTCCTTTCCTCTGAGAGCATATCAGCCAGATCCCCCCCGGTGACTACCTGCTGCATGTTTCTTTCCTCCAAACCATAATGATCTGTTCACTCTTCTATATAAAAAAAATGAGTTTAGGACCCTATGCCTGATGTGACACTGGCACAAAGTGATCTTTTACAAGAGGTCAAATCTTTTGTGACACTCTTGGCAGGCAGCTAGCCTTTCTGAGGCCGAGCAATATGGGATTAAACCTGATCCAATTGCGCTGGTCCTCTAGACTATAAATGATTTGGAGTTAAAATTTCTAAATAACATTCAGCATTATTATACTTATAACACTAGCAAATTTGCTTTCTTTTAGACACAATGATATAAATGAATTCACGTTTATCTCTCTGTGGGTTCTGGGGCCCCATTGTTGCAGGGGGGAGGGGGGGGGGGGTGACCCACTGCTTCCTTCCCCTTCCCCACCCCAACCACCAATAGGAATGTTGTCATAGTTGACTAATAGGGTGTTTCCTTTGAGGTCAGAGTGCATCTGCTTGAGAAGCTGGAATAAGCCAGATTTGTAAAACGGATGTGCACACAAATACTCAGATTCCGGAATAACACTCTAGTACAGAAATTGAAGAACGATTACAATTTTCTGCTGGAATTTGCAGCTGGTGAATCCGAAGAATAAGAATTTTCTATCATATTAATAAAGATATCAGTAGTTTTCTATAAGTTTTTTGACATTGTCTTTCAGAACAATCAAAAATCTACTATGCCAAGTGTGAGTACATGCAAGCCTCTCGGTATGGAGCTTATGCTAAAGGAACCGCAGCTGGTGGCCTTTACTGCACAGTCATTCTTTTGATTTGGGTCATCAGTGCCGTGATCAACGAAAAACGGCGCTACCTCTACTGATGATGCTTCTTGTTTGTTGAGAAATATGCTGATGTTAATGGCTGATGTATCAAATGTTGGTTCAGCACACGGTTCATTCCCTAACATTCCTTGATATCTGTAATAAAAACAATTCTCTCTGAGGAGAGTGGAATAATGATGTTCTTAATACATAATTGAGGTTCTTCTGTTCATGCATTATTTTTGTGCTGTGGTTAATAAAATGTTCTCTTTCACTACTGATGCACTTAAGAATTATTTTTTTTCTTCCTCATTCATTTATTCAGCTTCACTGAATAATAATCTGTTAAAAAATTACCCTTGTTAAAAATGAACGTATGGTTATTATTCTCTGAAAACTCTGTCCTATGCAGCTAGAGAAAGAGAAGAAGAAGCAGAGGAAACTTTGAGTCTTGGTCAGTTTTTATTAAAATCTAGGGGTTGAAACCTGTGACCACTGAGCAGATAGGCGAGTCTACTAGCAATTGTGCTACCACAGCTGGATTTTATAGTCCTTTTTTTTAGCAGAGGGGATTTTTTTTGTATATGAGGGGAAGTAATCATTGAACACTACTAAAAATATTTTTGTTGGTTATTTGGCTATAACAGAACACTGTTAGAGACTGCCTTTTTTCAGGAAGAGATCATAGTCTGAGAAAGGACTCAAACTTTTTTATTTTAAAACAAAGTGGTTGACATCAGGATGTTACAAATTCTAGTGTATAATAACCCCCAATTTTATCATTTAAAACTTCACACATAATGCTGACTTTAATTTTTCTATATACTGTTGATGTCACATATGCAGTATTTCATTATTTGTAGCCTCACCATGGCTTTTGCTGGGGGGCCTTGAAAGGGGTTTCTAGGACCTCTCCACAGGTGATCCTTATCCGCATGGTGGCACTTTGTGTCAGTGGGTATTTATGGCTTGTGTGATCACCTGGTGGGGTACAACAAGAGAGAGAGAGATAGAGAGTGATGAAACATTTTGTATCCATAGTCTGCTTTGGGCCGCTAGCCATCACACGAGTAAACAGGTGATCCGTGCTGTGATGTGCTGGGCTGTCAAGATATCAGTGACTCCTTCGATCCGTGTTCTTAGCCCCCTATTTTTTGGTATTTCTACTTTCATGCTGTTTGCTTTCATTGCCGGCATCCTTGGATTCATTCTTATTAAAGTGACAAACTATTTCCGTTTTCGCTGTTCTTCAGTGAATTTAATTAAAGGCATTGTTCCACCAGTACTTGTAATTTCTTTGTTTCTCACATCTCTCCTAGTTTTGTTCACTTTAAAACATCCAGTTACATATAGTTTTATAGTAATGCTGCACTAAATGTGACATTTAGAATATACACTTACAAATTGTTTATGTGTGGCATAGCATGAATTCTGTACATTATGGTCTACTATTTGGAATCACTGTGGTTAGGCGGCTAGATGCTCGCCAGCAGATCGGAAGGACGTGGGTTTAGGTCCCAACAGAGCCAAACTTTTTTTTTAAAATGACCTTAGCTCCTAGGTCGGCCCAGACTTTAGTAGATACCAGGTGCAGTCCTGGGAAGTAAAGGCGGCCAGCTTGATGCTGACCACATCACCCAGAAACTACCGAATGGTTTATAAAATATAGGACTAGCCCTATAAGCCTAAAGCAGTGGAAAAGGGTACTTTACTTTGTACTTACTTATGATCCACTATCTGGTATACTTAACATGCAGACAAAATTGAGTAAACATGAGTGAAATAATGAATCAGGAATTGACATCTCTGCACTTGTGGTGACCACTGGAAAGATCTGTGGAAGGAGGGATAGAGGAAGACAACGAGAGAACATGCTTGACAGTCTTGTTGCATGACATGGACACAGATACATGCTGCAGGAGATTGCAGATTATGGAGAGGCATAGTCGCCCACGCCAGTCGGCAAGGCATCTGATGATGATGATGATGCACTCGGGGTATTGCTGCATGTGCTCTGACCCCTTCTTCAGTAGCCAATGAAGAGTCCCCATACTGATGATAGTGAAAGTGAGGTTTCTAGGAGTCCTGTTAACTACTGTGAATGTTATGTTTCATCATCCTAATGAACCAGTCAGCCTTTGTTAAAGACACACTTTATGGCGGTTATTGTTCGGAATATTCAGAGACATGAAGAAACATCAAAGAGTACCAGCAGGTATAAAACTGGGGAAGAGGTAGATAAAGAAACCAATTTATTGTTGTTATGATACAGCAGGGCATGAGCTTTTTGCTTTTTGGCCCAATGCCATCTAGTGGAATTTACACGTTTCAGCTGCGTGCAGTTGTTTCTTTCCTCCATACAAGGTGTTCCACTTGTCTGCTTTTGGGGGGAGTAGCATTCTTCTAAACTTGCTGAGGTTTGCATAACTAGTTTATAAAACAGGCTTGCACAGAATTATCAATGCAGACATTCATGGAACTAAAGAGGGACACAAGACAACTGTTTATATATGTACACAAATATTATATAAGATAAAAGATGATTAAAGTATGATCTTTGATTTGGCTTTTTTTTTTTTTTTTAATTGTCATTAGGAAAAAGAACCTAGTTATTTATCAGAAGACATTTTTCTTCTTCTTCTTTGCAATTACTGACTTTAGTCCTGGCTTTAAACTCCAGCAGAAATTTATGATTGTGCGTCCACTTCTGGACGTTTGCCTTGTTGCAGAACTTGATTTTTGCATGCACATCTGTTTTAAGAGCTGGTTTATTTGTATGCAGACTGTTGGTTCCTCACTTCTCAGGGAGTCGCACTCCAGCTTCGAAGGAAACGCCCCCAAATAGTCAGCTTTTAGATAGGGTGGGTGGTGACAGATGATGAATGTATCCTTTCACTGTGTGTGTTTAAGGCCAAGAACCCATAAGGGGAAGGACATATTCTTCGTCTGTAAATGTTTCCTATACGTCTTTCAAAACATGGGTCACCAAGGAAGACTACTATAGTTTATTTTCCATTCCTGCTCTTGTGGGAAAGATTTCTCCTCTCTGGGTGACAGTTTGGGCAGTCTTGTAGGGCATGCTCTGGAGCTGGTCTTGGTGTATGATAACCGTATTTGACAAAAGCACTGTTATCTTCTTTTACAGTTCTTCCACCAACAATAACCATGAAATCCTATGAGCTTTTTACATGTTGAACAACAGATCCATCTGTGTGAATAATTGCATCTCCATCATTTGTTTTAGGACAAACGTTTGGCTGAACCATTCCTGATTAAGGACTAAAATTAACAGACTCAACACAGCAGTAGATTGTAATTCAACATTTATTTATGCACTAGATCAAATTTCATTCATACTTTGTTAGGCTCATCAACTTTGTGTTGTATATTCCAGGTTGTCAGCGCTTTTAGTCATCCAAAAATATGCAGAACTGGCCCTGACACAAACCCCCTTACAAGGCTGCAACCTACGTCACACGTATTCTCTTTCAGGGAATGAAAACATGAATGGAAGACAATGCAGAAAGCTTTTTGAGCAAACAGAACACCGTATCACCCCTGTAACATCGAGCAAGGTTGACTAGCCTGATTGGGGCCCCAGTCAAAAGTGACCTAGTGTGAAAATGGACGGAGCAGACCCAGATGGGGATAAGTTCGTAACATTCACCTAATTTTGAATTACTAAAAGCGGCTCCTCTTTATCATACTTAGACCAGCATATAAAACAAAAAAGTCACAGCTGATGTATGGTACAGGCAGTAATGATTAAAAAACCATAGATATTGTGCCAAAGGGGCCAAACGAGAGCCGCCGTGGTGTAGGGGCTAGACTCACGCCTGCAGATCAGAAGGTCGTGGGAGCAGACCCCGACAGACCACATTTGTTTTTGTTTTGACCTTGGCTTTCAGACTGACCCAGCCTTGAGAGGGTACGAGGTTCAGTCCTGGGAAGTAAAGGCAGCCGGCATGATGCTGATCATATCACCCACCCAGTGCCGACTAGTCTATATACTCTAGGTCTAGCCCTATATGCCCAGTATGACTGAAAGCATGGAAAACTGTCCTTTTACAGGGGCCAAATACACAGCACACTGTAGGGAATACATATCTGTCGACGTTCATTAGTCAACCCAAATTAAATGTAAGATGTATAAACTTACATCACATATTCACTGTTGCACATTAATAGAAATACCCTGACAACACAGATTCAGGAACAGGATGTTGTCAACTCAGAATGTTAAATTAAAAATCGACTCACAGCCCTCGGGACACTCCCATAATATCTCAGTCCCCCATCTTCAGCAGCAAGTGAAGAGTTCCAATTCCGATGGTACCAGTAACCGTCTGATTGTATATCCGTCTCATCCTTCCCACGAATGTTGAGTGTCGGCCAGATCTCCTGTTAACTCCTCGCAGTGTCATTTTCCTTAAACCGTAGTGATCTGTCTGCTCCTCCGCACTGTTCACTCGCACCAAAGGGCCCTTACAATATCTAACTTGTCATTCATCAATTCAACACCCAAGTGGTGCAGAGCTGGCCAGTCTATCTCAGTAAACTCAGAGCACAGCTACATCAAATGTGTCTTGCTGGCTCTCTTGTAAATGGTTGTGGTTCACCTTAGCAAAATCTAGAGCAGTGGCTTTCTACATTCCTAACGCTGCGACTCTTTAATACAGTTCCCTTCTCATGTTGTGGCGACCCCCTAACAATTATTTTCCTTTATAACTTCAATGAATATGTGTTTTCTGATGGACTTGGTCGACCCCTGTGAAATGGTCGTTCGACCCCAAAAAGAGGATCGATCGGCAAGTTAAGAACCGCTGCTCTACAGCATGTCTTACAGGTCTGGCCAGACAGACAGATGTAAGCTGGTCCGCAGCACCCTCTCTACAAGAGAAACTGTTAAGACCTCCCAGACATCCTCCTGTTTATGATGACTGGAACAGACGCGTAGCTAATGTTGATCGCTGACTAAGAAGAAGAGGAAGAAGAAGATAACAACACACAGACGTCTTAAATGATGTCTTTTGTCTCTGTGTAATATATTTCAAATCTAGATGTAGTAGCTGTTATACTTGTAGACGCTGTAGAACTCTGATTATTGCATTCTTACCTGCAAAGAAAATACCAGATTTGTGATTTGAAAACTCGGACACCACTAACCTAATTTTTGATATAACATTAAACAGAAAAAGTAAAGTGAACAAAAGTGTACGACACTTCTCCATTGAGCATATAAGGTTAGACCTATATTTATAGACCAATCAGCCGTGATGTAGTCAGCATTACACCGACCGTCTTTACTTCCCATGACTGCACCTGGTACCCACTCAAGGATGGGTCCACTCGGTAGCCATTATCACGATTGAAAAAAAAAAAAAACCCGGCTCCGTCAGTACCCGAACCCACGACCTTTCGATCCGCAGCAGCATCTAGCTGCTACACCAAGGCGGCTCCCACATTAGACAGTGGCACATATCATATAGGTCAGTTTCTGTGGCCTGGGCGATGCGAACGTGCTTCGTGTTGCCGGGTACGATCCCAGCTGCGGACGATCCGTCTTGCGTAGGTTTTGACAATAGTACCGAGAGCAGACCGTCTAGAAAACAATTGCAAACTAATGAACGTAAATTTGTTGGTTCTGCAACATATCTGGCCGGCGCTCAACACTAAGGGAAAAGGCGAGACGGATATACAATCAGACAGTTACTAGTGACATCGGAATTGGAACCCTTCGCTTGCTGTTGAAGATGAGGACGAAGGGCTTATGGGGGTGTCCCGAATGCTGAGGTGTCAATTCTAAATTCAACATTTAACATTTAATATGAACTATATTTCTGTTTACTGAGGTCAGAAGTTTTATCCCATATGGCCCGGTCTCTCCCAGCAGAGCGATTTGCCGCCTCCCGAGATTGGCACACAAATCACAAACACCGCAACTATCACCAGGTATCTTCGTAAAAATCTGCACTCGTGAACTGAACAGTGAAACGAACCCAAAACTTTCAGGGCGCCAGGCAAGCGACTGTATCACGCTGCATGGCTGGTGCAGTTGCCACGGACTGTGCATGTTAACATTTTATGTTTTCCCTCAACAGGGAAAAAAATCCAATATCTTACAGACGATTGGAACCTGGATCTCCAGTTTTAACGCAGTGGCCACCATACATAATCAGGATTTGTTCGTGGTCTTAAAGATTAAGAAAGTGCTAACATTAATGACAAGAGACAGTCATATATTTTTTTGGGGTCATGTTATGAGAAAATGGAGCATGTTGTAACCACTGGAAAAATTTGTGGAAAGAAAGACTTTAAAACATCGGGAGAAGATTCTTGACAGTCTCCTGCATGGAGTGGTGTCAGCACACGAACTGATATTAGCAGTTGCGGATCGCAGATTGTGGAGAGACATGATCGCCGACGCCAGTCGGCAAGGCACTTGTTGATGATGAACAGTAATGACGATGGCGGTAAAGAAGATGATGAAAAGTAATGACGAAGACGGTAAAGGAGATGATGAACAGTAATGACGATGACGGTAATCAATCAATCAGGTGCCGTCTCCACAATGAAGGTTGGCTGCAATGGATCTCCAACAAGCCCTGTCTCTTGCCCTTGATGTACACTCACTCATACTGCTGTTCGTCCATCTCTTGATGTTATCCTCCCTCTTGTAACGCTGTCTGCCTTTTGCTCGCCTACCTTGAACCTTTCCCTCTAGGATGATCTGTACAATACTGTTATGTCTTTTAATGTGGCCAAAATATTTCACTTGTCTCTTTTTTATTTCACTTAGCAACTGATGACGGTAAAGGAGATGATGAAAAATAATGATGATGACGGTAAAGGGAGATGATGAAAAGTAAGACGATGACGGTAATGGAGACTGTAGGGAGAGTATGACCAGCACAATGGTGTGCCGTTATAAGTGACATTTTTTATTTCGCTTCATAATTATTTTGTGTGGGTCTGCCGTGTGGCCTTCTCCTATTTATTTCTTGTATGGGACAAGTAGTATTTTTTTTTAAATCTTTTATCTTTTTATGCTCCAGCCATTTGCGTCTTTTAAGCCTCATGATGCCAGTACTGTCTTGCCAATGTATAATCATAATTTCTTTCTTTGTGTCTCCGTGACAGTTGTACTGCCAGGACGACTGACTTCATTGCACCAGGGTTTAATTACGTTTGGCTTGTTTTCCCTCTGAAGAAACGCTAGCTGCTGGCCTAGAGCCTCGCACAAATCATACACTCCATAACTTCAGCAACAATCACCGGGAATGTTCGTTATATCTGCTGTTGTAAACTGAACGATATAGCTGTGAAACAAACTCGGGACCTTTAGTGTGTGAGGTAAATGGTTTGTTGACCACTTCCGGTCAACACGGCGGATGGTACCGTTTTTAGTCGTAGCAAGTTTTCGCTTCACACAGTAGTTAGCTATTGCATATTACTTCAAATGTAGACGATAAGGATATAGTTCAATCGCCCAGCTACTGGGTTGAATGAATGGTGCGACACTGTGAGCTGCGTATTTCACATGGAATGCTTTTCTACTGCTTAACATGCATGGTGTTATGGGCTGCAGATTCAGAAAATGACTTTTTGTCAAAGAACTAGTGGTACCTTATGCGATTAATTGCATGTGCAACTACTGATCTGTTTTAAGTGCTGCTTCTATTGACGATGAACTGCATTTCTAGTGTCTAGACTGTTTGTATTGAAACTTCTGACGGCTGTCTTAACCATTTAATGAGTATGTAGACCAGCGTTTTCCAGACTACAGTCTGTGCACATTTGTATTTGTCCACATGGTATACTGATATACATTTCGTTTTGTTTTCGTTAGCACCCTAGCGGAGCAACATTGGGGTGATCCGTTTACTACGACGGTGGAGTCGCGCTTATCACTGGCCACTTTCCTATAGAGACCGCCATGGTAACTGATAATTGTGACGACAGTAAAGAATTAGGATGACAGTAATAATGGCAGCAAGGTTAAGATGAAGAGGAAAACGTTGACGATGATGAGAATGATTAATGCATCAATTTACAAAGCATTCTAATTCAATATTCAACACAGAACAATAAAAGTTTTACCATATTCATAAGCAGCTTCGTGTATCGAATAGCAAATCCGAAACATGCCAGGCTTTTCGGAATGGTAATCAAAACCAGGGACGACAAATGCTTTCTCCTTGAGGAACTGCTCACACAGCCACATCTCTCCAACTGGAGTCTGCTCCGGTAGGAACTGGTGGAAGGAAGAACACGAAGAGGGTCTCAGTCAAGAGCTGACACCACACCACTGGGGATATTCTCAAAACAGCTCTATCCTTACCTTCAGCAGCAAGTGCAGAGTTTTGTTTTTCTCCCTCAGTGTTGCCACATTCTATGGTCATTTCCTGATTCATCTCTCTTTAGACTGGTTTTGCTTGCTTGTTGTACCCCGCCAGGACATCACACAAGCGATAAACACCCAATGACACAAAGTGCCACCATGGGGATGAAGATCACCCGTGGAGAGTTCCCAGAAACCTTTTTTTTTGGCTACATTCATGGCCCGGCTATATTTAGGGCCCCCAGCAAAAACCAGGGTGGGGCTTCAGAAGACGAAAAATTGCATCCCACATGGGGACAACCGATGATTGTATTGGTTTTTATTTAACCTTTTAGGCCCATAAATGCTAATTTTTCTGACGGGCGTAGTAATGACATTATTAAACTCAAAGGGGTACTCTTATTTATGGATAAAATAAACAGCACTCGTAGGAAATGAATAAGTTTCCTGAGTATTTTAGGTTAGTTTTGTAGAGTCTGGTTAAATTACTTAATGACTTAACCTTATAAATAACACAAACGTGTGTTGACATTTCTTACTTTTGAAAAATCAGCCCAGATAAAGACAGTAGCGGGACTTGGGTGAACCTTTGCTCCGTGCTTCTCCAAAATATTTCGTAGATCTTCAAATCGTGTGTGCATTCGTTCCTTCATGTTGCGGAAGTATATTTGCTCCATCCATTCTAGAAACAATAAATACACACTTGTGAGAGTAAAATCGCAACAACAAGAAAAACAATAGATGAAATCCAATAACATAATGTTTTATATGGCTCTGAAACTTGAAACACAACTAAAAGAGATGAAAACGTAACAGGTTTTTTTGAATACAGAGTCTTACGACCCATCAAAGATGCAAACAGCGATGATTGGAGAGTGAGAAGCAACAACGAAATTCATAATCTGGTTAAATCACCACTGATCACTGACATCATGAGAGCCAATAGACTTAAATAGTTGGGGCATATTGAAAGAACGTCAGATGACAGAAGTAAAAAATGTATACACCAGGGAGATTAATGGTCGTAGACAACGAAGCAGACCACGAAGACGATGGAGAGATAACATCCAATCAGACCTGCAAACACTTGCTGTCATCAACTGAAAAGAGAAGGCCAACCAGAGAGCTGAATGGAGGCGGGTGATATCTGCAGCAATGAACCTCAAAAGCTCGGAATGCTAAAGAAGAAGAAGAAAAAGAACATAATAAAATGATAGATGTAAGTTAACTTCAAATGCGGTAAAGCAAACCCAGTACTTAGACAGCTGCCCCCCCCCCCCCCTTTCTTTTTTCTTTCCCCATCTTTAGCATCATAGGACAATCCCAATTAGCACAAAGAAACATCTCATACATAGCATATTAATTCTCACTCTATGCTACCAGTGCCAGACATAGTCAGTTACAACAAATCAGAAAAATAACAATGGAAATGAGATGCATGAGAAGACTAGGAGATGCAGGAGTGACTAGGACAGATCAAATCAGGATTGAAGTCGTAAGAGAAAAACCAATTCTAAATTACATAGAGGGACAGCAAATCAAATGGTTTATCCACTTATAGAGAATGCCTTGCGACACCATACCACACAAGGCATCCACTAAAAAAGAAGGGCGTAGAGCACGAGGTAGACCAAGAACATCATGGAAAGATAACATCAGCAAAACTCCATAGTACCATGTGTCTATGGTCGAAGCGTCTAAAAAAACTAGGGTTCTATTAACTTTTCACGGCCCATCTACACACTTTCTCTGTCTGGTCTAGGTCAGATAGGGAGGGGGGGGGGCGTGGGGGAGGTTACGTTGCACTGTTTTCTTCGATAAGTGTCTCAAAGTGAGTAGAGTGGTTTGGGTTAGGGTGTATTCTAGATGTTCTGGGGTCGTTGACATCGACCCTGACGTTCAACTGGCAGAGGAAGGTGCGACAAAAGAGCAGCCGGATGTACCAGTCACATACCACCAAAAGAAAAGAATCATTAAATCGATCAGGAAACCACCAGCCCCAGCACAAGACGACTATTTTATTATGGACAGACCAGAAAAAGTCATTATCCTCCGCCTCAGAACAGGGACAACCGATTACGTAACCAAATGTATACAAAATTCAAGATAGGTGTATCAGCCATGTGCACCTGTGGAAATGTGCCCCAGACAGCAGAGCATGTACTCCAGGACTGCACCGATTTTGACACATTAAGGCAAACCTTTTGGCCAGAAAGAACAACAGTGGAACGTAAACTCTATGGACCACTGAATGAACTAACAACGACAGTGAAATTTATACAAGAGACAAAACTGCTGATATAGACAACTTATTTCAGGCGAACGAAAGAAGAAGAAGAAGACCCTGGCGTAATTGGAGGCAAGACCACGTGACACCCCTCTGACGTAGAACAGTCTGAGAAAGCATGAATGAAAGGTTAACCAGTGTGTAGATGGGACCAGAAACGTGAAAAGAACCAAAACAAAAAGCCAAACCTCACAGCTGCCTCGACACCCAAAGTGGTCAAAGATGAAAGTGAAGAAGAAGATGTAATTCTAATCACTAAAGAAGCAAACCCTTGGAACTTAAACGTTGCAGGAAGATTCGTAGAGTTTCACGAGCCAGGAAGAGAAAAATGTCTGACATCCTTCACGATTAGTGATTAGTGATTAGAAAGGATTATCATCACAGCACTCCGGACAGATCCATAGGTGCTCCGATCTGCTCCTCAAAAGCTCCACAAGTGTAAACCGACTGATGACACCTGTTCTGTGTTGGTTAATGAAACGTCTTGTCCCCTTAGTGAAATATTCATTTCTGGCAGCTCCAGGCTGCACCCCCATGTCCATGAGTCTAGTCAGGGATATGGGGTCATATCCTTTGGCGTGCTCCTCGGTAAGGTAAGTGCAGCGCATGGCACGATCTGAATACAGAAGGGGACTAGGTCATAAAAACAATCTACTCTCAAAAACTGAAATACTACAACCCAATTAAACGCCATAATGGTTGAACGAGAACAGTAATGAACGGTTTGGAAGAGACGTAGGGGTCGACCAACACTAAGATGGACAAATGATGTCTAGGACACTCTGAACACGACAGTTCACGAAACGCGGAAGTTGACAGGTCACCGAGTGGTTTTCTTGCTTGCCGTGATGAGAGACAGACGCTCTTTATAGATTCTTCTACATCCGGGCTATTCAACTAAGTTTACTTAGGTGTCAATATTTTGAAAATGGGGATCGTCACGGACTGGAGGCTCGAGCTCCAGCATAGAAAAATCAAAAATACAAAACAGCTGACAAGATCCGCGAGCCACTTGCTAGCCTTTCACAGGCCAGATTTAGCCCGTGGGCTGCCAGCTGAATAGCCCTGTTCTACATGATAGTGATTTTAACTAATAAGTAGTGACCTTACTGCTTAAAACGCAGCCACTGAATAGCATTTACCCAGTATCCATCTCTTAACGAAGACATCCTGAGCAGTCATGTCCAAGTCCAAGTCCTTTTGAGAAAAAAATTAAAAGGTGAACCACTTTCAGACTGCTGCTAGCTAGCCGAGGCTGCTAACAGTCTCCACCTATATTTGTGGTCTGGGTTATTTGCGTCACTTTCGTGACTAATTTCGATTATTTGCGCCATTTCTGGGCTTGATGCTTCCATCCGATTCCAACCGCTCGTCCTGCACCCTATTGTTACTTGTGCAGGTCTTTCCTTTTCTTACTTGGTGTTTCCTGTTTGTTTTGTCTCAGTCATCTAACATATGCCCTTCTATACTTTGCCAGTATGTGTGATTCTTTCTATGTCGTTTCAATATACTTCTTATTCTGCCCTTTATCCACATAAAGTATAGAAACTAAAGCAACTCACTCAAACCCCTTTTTTCCTTCTTTTGCTTTATCTCCAAATAAAGCACATATTTTCGACCAACTTTCAAAATACTTTTTCGATGAAGCAGCCAGTAATTAAAGTAAATGACTCTTTTCAATGCCTTCAGGCGTTTTGAGCATATAGGGCTAGACTTATATTTTATAGACCAATCGGTACTTGGTGGGTGATGTGGTCAACATCACACCGGCGGCCTTTACTTCCCAGGACTATACCTGGTACCTACTCAAGGTTGGGTCGACCTGGGAGTCTAGGTCAGTTTTGGAGGGGGAAAAAAGTCCGGCATTGCGTGGACCTGCACCGACGACCTTCCGATCCATAGGTGAGCGTACAGCCGTTACATCATGGCGGCCCCCTTAAGATAGCCAGTACGTTAACAAAATAAAGTTTCACCGCTCTATTGGGAACTTTCATTTTAGCTCATCCCAAGCATGGAATAACCGGGGAAGTCTAATATTGTAGGGGTGTTACGGTTTGAAATGAACTCCGACTGACCTTTACGCCTCTATAATACTGGACTTCTCCCTGGGATTACAGCTAAACTGTAAGTACTCTTGAATATTCTAAGATCTCATGCCTATCAAGACGCCCCCCCCCCGCCCCCCACCCACAGCAACAGTAATTTTGCGGTCACTTACCGTGGTCGTCTAGAAAGTGCTGCAGTCTGTGCATGATGATGCCGGCTGCTCTGAAGTAGATGAGCGTGTTGGTGAGGTACTGGAGGAATGCCGGGTTCTTGGTGTGCACGAAGCCGCACCTGTAGCCTGAAAGCCCCGTATCCTGTAGATACATTTAACAGATTATGTGCATTTTCGGCACTAATGGTTGGCTACAGCGTACCCAGTGCTGTCTTTAGGAATATGACCTGGAGTCCCCCCCCCCCCCCCTTACCCCTACCACCAACCCCAAATCTCTTCAAGGCACTACTGTACGAACTCAACAAGAATGGTTTTTGCAGATACATAAATGGACATCAAAGCAATATTTCCCCGTTGTAAATTTGAACAAAGAAGACACAAACAATAGATTGCACAATTTATTGCCTGACATATTTCGCTGTATCTCGTCAGGTGCATACTACAGTAACAATTACATAAATGAAGCAAATAAATGAATCCTTTATAACCGAAGTACAATATCATTGTTGAAATTGTGTTTTTTGCCCGTCTCTCTAGCGTAGTTGGCTAAACCGGACTGCGCGGTGAGCGGGTGACGAACTCCTTGTGGTCCGGGTTCACTTCCGGGGGTAGACAGAAAAGCCACATTTCTCCCAGATTTACGGTATTTATCATGGAATCAAGGCCGAAAGGTTGCGATACCCATAATACCGAGCCTAAGGGTTAACAACTCATGGCTTCTGGATACTAAAACAAACAAACAAACAAATTGTGTTTTCAATCATAAGCACACAAAAAATGGTTCCTTCCACGGATCGTACGCTGCACTCTCTCCTGGGACATGAGCTGAGGCTGTGAACTAGGGTGTTTGTGTTAGAGCCAGTTCTAGACATCGCGTCGGTCCCCAGTGATGGGATTGACACGACACCCCTGTCACGTAAACCAGCCTGAGCAAGCACGAATGAATGGTCAGCTAGTGTGTAGCCGGGCCCGACTTTGTAACTAGAACCCACTTTGAGAAGGAACAAAACAAAAACACACACACACACTGAGTACCAACCTTGCTGACTCCCCATGCAAAGTGAACACTAGCAGGGTCGGGGTGGGGTAAGGATAGAATGCTGGTAAATTTAACATCCGGGTCATGGACCGAGAACCCGTAGATTTCGTTGGAGAACAACTGTAGCTTGTGTCTGAAACACAACCATCATTGACATAAAGATAACACAATCACATGTTGACATAAAGATAACACAACCACATATCGACATTAAAATAACACAATCGCGCATCGACATGAAGACAACACAGCCGTCACCGGCATAGGATAACAGAGCCACATATCAACATACAGATCACACAACCATCACAGGCATGAAGATAACACAGCCACATATAGACATAAAGATAACACAGCCATACATCGACATGAAGATAACACAGCCGCACATCGACAAGATAACAACACAAATGTACATCAAAACGAACACAAAACAACCAAACATCGTCATGATGATAACACAACCGCACGCTGACATAAAAATAACACAAACATACATCGACATGAAGATAACACAGCCACACATCGACAAGATGACAACACAAATGTACATCCAAACGAACAACCAAACATCGTCATGATGATAACACAACCGCACGCTGACATAAAAATAACACAAACATACATCGACATAAAGATAACACAACCGCACGCTGACATAAAAATAACACAAACATACATCGACATGAACACAGAACAACAGGACATGGGCATGAAGATAACATAAACAAATATCGAAATGAAGATAACACAACTGTACACTGAAACGAACAGAGAGCAGCCAAATATCGCCATGACGATAACACAAACACACATCGACACGAAGGAAACAAAACCACACTTCGACATGAAGATAACACAACTGTACATCGAAACGAACATAGAACGAGCAAATATTGTTATGACGATAACACAACAGCACACTGACATGAAAACAACACAAACATACGTCGACATGAACAAAGAACAGAGAAACCTGGACATGAAGATAATACAAACAAATATCAACATGATGATAACACAACCGAATATCCATATGAAAATAACCAACCAAACATGGACAAGAAGATAACATAACCAAACATCGACATGAAGATAACAACCACACATACACATACAGATAACACAACCACACATCCACATGAAGATAACACATCCATACATATATTGGAAGTAAAACAACCACACATCGACACAAAAATAACACAACCACACATCATCATCATCATCATCATCATCATCATCATCATCATCATCATCAGGTGCCTTGCCGACTGGTGTGAGCGATCATGCCTCTCCATAATCCACGATCTCCTGCAGCATGAATCAGTCGTTTTCTGAATTCGTAATATTCTGAGGCATGATACAGTGAGGGTTTCCCCTTGACTTCAGCCAGTTTGTATATGGTTTTACTCCAATAGCCTTTGTCTAAAGAGACTTACCTAGCAAGGCAACAGGGGAGAGAGGTTATGGCGCCTCTTACCCGCCGATGGCCATGTCGTAGAGTTCTTAGGTATTTTATAGAGTTAGCTATCCCACCAACTAACTCACCTCCTCTCAATGACCATCACCTGTTTTGGTCCACGGCCACTTATTCAATATATTCGTGGCTAACCTCTATATCTAGAGGCCTTTCCACCATCCGCCACCTGGTGGACGCGCCTAGTAGTAGGAAAGGCTCCTACCCCACACATATACTTAACGATAAAACAAACCACACATCGACACAAAGATAACACAACTACACATATACTTGACGATAAAACAACCACATATCGACACGAAGATAACACAACCACAAACCTAGCTGAGAAGAAATTCTAACTATTATAAACATTATTATCAGTATTCCCATCTTGTGTTCGACCAAGTTTTAATACACATTTCTTTTTAAAGGGACATAAGTCACCTCACCTATGTGTGAAGTCCAGTAACTCTTTCAGCTGTTCAGCCCCTACCACGTCACCCGTTGGGTTGACTGGGTTGTTCAGCATCACAGCTCGGACTCGTTTCCCCTGCAATAAAGCAACGACCACGTGAGACCATCTCTGTCAGTTCTGTCGACAGGACCAGGGCAGCCAGCATGGAGTAAACACGTCAGAGTCAATAAAATTTGATCCTCTGGTCCTGAATTCTTTCTGCCATAAACTTCTGAATATATATATATATATATATATATATATATATATATATATATATATATATATATATCTATCTATATATCTCTCTCTATATCTTCTCTCTCTCTCTCTCTCTCTCTCTCTCTCTCTCTCTCTCTCTCTCTCTCCCTGGTAAACCAGCAATGAACTGGGGCGAGCAGTGCTCACTCCACGAAGACTGATCAACCAACACCGAACTAGGGCAAGCAGCTGCTCACTACAAAAAGGCTGGTGAACGAACATCGAACTTGGGCGAGTAGTGCTCACTATAAGACGACTTGTAAACGAACATCGAACCTGGGCGAGCAGTGCTCACTACAGGAAGACTGGTAAACCAGCAATAAACTAAGGCGAGCAGTGCACAATACACAAGGACTAGTACACGAACATCGAACTAGAGCGAGCAGTACACACTACAAGAAGACTGGTGAACGAACATCCCACTGGGGCAAGCAATGCTCACTACAAGAAGACTGGTGAACGAACATCCCACTGGGGCAAGCAATGCTCACTACAAGAAGACTGGTGAACGAACATCCCACTGGGGCAAGCAATACTCACTACAAGAAGACTGGTGAACGAACATCAAACTGGAGTGAGCAGTGCTTACTACAAGAAGACTGGCGAAACGGCAATGATCTGGTAATCTGGTAATCCTAGTTTCAGCTTCATAGCAAACGGGTCACCCCATAGTTGCTCCGCTCGGCAATGAACTGGGGCGAGCAATGCTCACTAAAAGAATACTGGTGAAATACATCGAACTTAGGCGAGCAGTGCACACTACAAAAAAGGCTAGTGAACGAACATCGAACTGGAGCGAACAGGGCTCACTACAAGAAGGCATTCTAACAGAAATAGGAAACACCAGCTTGTACAATGCAATAGGAAACAAGTGCATAAACGATCCTTACATCTTTCCCCCCTCCCCACCATACCCCAACACCTAGCTTAGGTAAATGGTCGAAGATAAGAAGAAGAAGAAGAAGAAGAAGAAGAAGAAGAAGAAGAAGAAGAAGAAGAAGAAGAAGAAGAACGAACATCGAACTTGTGCGAGTAGGGCCGCAATATAGCCTGGCCATAAATATGGGCTAATGGCTGAACGCGGTTTCTGTGACCTCTCATCCACGTGGTGCCAATTTGTGTCATCGGTTGTTTATCGCTTGTGTGATGTCCTAGTGGGGTAAAATGTACTACTGATAATACACATACTTTTGAATATAGTTCGTCTGGTCCTGTTTACGTTTCCAGGTTTATCTACACACCATCTGACCTTTCATTCAAACTTTCCCAGACTCTTCTACGTCGGAGGGGTGTCACGTTGTCTTGCCTCCAGTTACAGCAGCGTTGATGTCGCTTGTTCTGTATACTACATGACCACACAGCTTTTAACCACCCCGGAACATGTAGAACTGGCCCTAACCCAAACCCCCTACACACAGCCTCAATCTAGGTCACACGAGAGACTCTTTTAGAAGAAATCAGTACAAAGTGACACCCCTCTGACCTAGATCAAAGTAAAAACGTGTGTAGATGGGCCTGGAAATATAAACAGGTCCGCTTGTTCCAATGTGGACTCAATTTTGTTGTGGTTGATTTAAAGCCCAATCCTTATTGTTGCTGCGAACGCTAATATAACTAAACCTATGGGTTGAACGGGGTTTCTGGGACCTGTCCCGGGGGATCCTCATCCGACTGGTGGCACGTTGAGTTACCGGGTGTGTATCGCTAGTTTTGCCATCCTGGTGGAGTTGAAGGTTATTAATTAATTCCAGAAACTGAAATGTTGTCAACATTTGGCCTGTACGAACCATTTAAGAGAGAAGCGCTTAAACTTACAATGCGGATCAATATCATCACGTATCAGGTTCTTTACAGAGCGTCGCTCCCATCACAAACCCGCCTTTACAAAAAATTGGTTCCTCGCCAGCTTTCACACGTCATTCACTTTCCAGCCCAATTTGTCTCTTATATCCTATACATCGTGACAACGGGAAAGATCAGTGGAAAAAAAATGGGTCGAGGCAGACCAAAAAAAGAATGATGCTGAATGGGCTGAAACGATGGCATGGAGGGATATCATCAAGAGAGCTGTTTCAGTCAACCATGGATCTATGGTGACGCATGAGCGCCTACGCCAGTTGGCAAGAGACATGATGATGAATATCCTATGCGCATCTTCGTGCTGGTTGACCACAACAACTCTTACTCAATACCGTGCCCTCGGATAGATATTGCTCTTTCCCATCCACAAGACGTCTGATGTGGCCAAAGTATTTCAGTTTCATAGACAAGATGCTCATGTCAGCTCATTTTCTTTGATCTGCAGGTCTTAAAGGGTGTTAATATTGACAAAGTGGATACAACGAGTTAATACAGAAATTGCCTTTCAGGGAGGAGCCCAAGAAAAAAAAAAGGCTGTCTATATAGCGATCAAGAAAAGCACAGCACAGATTTAATATTAGTTCGCCTCTAACAAAGTCTGACCCCTCACCTCGCTAACTGCTTTCTGATAAACTTGCTCCAGGACTTCACTGTCAAGTGAGTACCTCCCAGTTGTATCGCCTTTCTGTGATGGAAAAAAAAAGGTACAATAAACTATACAGGAGTTCTGTAAGCAGGAATAAATTAATGGCAATGTGTGTAATGTGTGGCTGTCTTCCCTCTTTAGTAAGTAAAATGCAAGTAAGGACCATTTTTTAAATGCCAGTGGCCGCAAAAGCCTTTCTTCACCGAATACTCATTTTTTATAGACTAATTGGCACTCGGTGCGGTCACCTCCCCGCCGGTTGCCTTTACTTCCCAGGACATTACCTGGTACTCGTTTGGGGCTGGTTTGACCTGGGAGCAAGCGTCAATGACGAAACATAAACTGCCTCAATGAAGATTCGGACCCAGGAACGTCGAATCAACAAGCAATGGACTCGCCACTACGCTACGCTACTCGCATTTAACCAGCAGATGCTTTGATGTAGTGCAAAAATTGGGATATGTGGGATATAGTGACATATTAGTTGCAGGACTTCGTTGGACACCTTTAAACTGATGTATGTTAAAATAAAAGGCAGCAAAGGTAGTGAGGCAGAATGGAATGGGATGACCATTTTGTTTCATTTGATTTTCACTGGCACAGAAACGGAGCAAGTATGGGAAGACCCGATAGCAATGCAATAGAAACCCGACTTTGACTACTGCAACGAGATGATCAGTCTTCACAAGTGCAAGCGACCAAAAAGATAATTCTCTGTAGCGACCTCTCCGTGTGGGTTCCGCTGGGGTTCCATTGTGGGGAAGACAAGAACAGACCCACTGAAGCATGTCGTAGGAGTCGACAAATTGGGAATTTCCTTCAGCCTGCCCGAGCGGCAAGAAACAACCAGCTGCATACGCATAAGCCAGTAAAACAGATGTAAACGCGAATTTCAGGACCTGACACAAAGTCAAAGTCCAGATGGACGAACAACCAGGACTCTCCGCCGGAGCTTACAGCCGGTGAACAAAGAAGAAAAAGTGTAGCGACAGAGGATAGACCTTTGTGTAGCGACCAAAGAGAGACCTTTGTGTAGCGACCAAAGAGAGACCTTTGTGTAGCGACCAAAGAGAGACTTTTGTGTAGCGACCAAGGAGAGATTTCTGTGTAGTGATCAAGGAGAGTCTTCTATGTAGCGATCAAGGAGAGACCTATGTAGCGACCAAGGCGAGACTTCAACGCAACGACCCACGATATACATTTATACAGCGACCTACAAGAAGACCGTGTCTAGTGACCAAGGAGAGAGTCTAACGTAGCCAGCAAGGAAAGACGCAGGAAAACAAACGATACAGAAAAAAAAAAAAAGAAATAAAACAAGAAGCAGAAGACGGTGATGATGAATATGAGGATGGAAGATGATGTCGACAAAGACGAGACAACGATCGCGATGAGGATAACGAAGTCGCAGTAAAATATAACACAAAACCACTTACCAGTCGTGTCAAGGGGACGTCAAGAACGTGGACTCCAGGCCGCTCAAATATATCAAATATGGTTCGGTAGTAGTAGGGACTGGGCACCATAATGTAGTCTGTGAAGTTTGACAAGAATCATCTCAGGGATGTGTTCAGTGACTTTTGACACGCAACGATGGCAGAGATATATCTTTGTAGTCTGCTACTTTTAAGATAACATTATTTCATGGCTATAATTACAAAGTCGTGATGTATACAGTGTCGAGGCCAGATTAATTCACAAGTGTAAGCGTTAGCAAGTAAATGGAGAGAGTATCACGTAATATTTTCCTCCTCGTCGCTTCGCTGTCGAGGGAAGGTGTGTGCAGCTAGCATGCTAATGCTACTAACTGGTAGCTTTCACACATTACAGTTTCTTTATGAATGGCGTAAGTGTAGAGCGACGGCTCTATTCACCACTGTTGAAAACCGTTACCTGCTCGGCGAGACGTCATCAGAGCTGTATATTGTAATAAATAGTCAATAGTAAAAATAAATAGTAAAGTAAAAGTAGAGGTCCCCTTTTCACGCCTTAAGGAGCATGGGGAATATAGGGATACCACGTCGGCCGCGTTTACTTCCCAAGGCTGCACCAGATACCCACTCAAGGTTGGGTCGACCTGGGAGTATTAATAAATAGTACAATAATAAATTTTACTTTGGCAACGGAAATTGTAAGTGATTATTGCAGCCGTTAAATGCATGCCTTATCACTGACTCTAACACCGACGTGATGACATTCTCATTATCATCATCATGCCGGGCCGTGTGTATGTCACACAGGGCTCGGAGTCTAGTCCCGTAACTAGTTCTATCCCCTGGATTGCTTTCTACATCACAAATGGACTCCAGTCCAGCACCTTTAGCTTCTCTCTTCAACGTTCGTTTAAAAGTTTCACGCAAATGCGCTTGTTTTCTCGATTCATTGGTTTCCAATTTCACTGCCTGTTTTGTAATTCTCTGCCAGCCCGCCCACATAACGTGTCGAATATAGCACCATCTCCTTAGACTTATAACTGTTAGACACCAGTAGCTGTCCAGCCATCTCTCCGACTTCCTGGCCTTTCGTAATATTTCATGCCATTTAATGTTCGATGACCCAAGACAGATTTGTTTTTGAATGCTGACATTATTGTTTCAAATGTTGTTCTTGCTTCGGTGATCTGCTGGTCAACGGTTGGTACGCAATGACAACATGCATATGGCTTAGTACAGGTGTGAAAGCACAAGTCTGGGATGACCTGGAAGTTGGTCAAGCCGTTTACCTCTGGCTCTGAAGGTCGTAGGTTCGTTTCACAGCTAGGTCGTTCAGTCTACGAGTGCCTTTTGTACGGAGATCCTTGTGGATCGTCGCCAGAACTCTATAGTTCGTGCTTTGTCTGAAGCTCTCGCAAGATGGCTAGCCGTTCTGCGAAGAGAGACCGAGCCACATGAGATAAAATGGGGTCCAATAAAGTCGATCCTCTCGATTTCATTTTAACACAATTAAAGTACAATTTACATCGAAAGGGGGGGGGGGAGGGGAGGGGGGCTGCATGGTGTCCGCCTCGAGTGATGGAGGTCCCGGGTTCAAGTCCAGGTTCAGGCTGGGATTTTTTTCACGTGGACTTCTAGTCCACATATGGGACTATATGGGACAACATTTGGAGTTAAAAATCTACCCAAAGTATTTCAGGATCCTCGCCGGCCCACCAGAGTTCGTGCACTGCGTTCTGAAACTTTGGACTCAGGCTTGAGTTAAAAGTAGAACAGCACACTTATGGGTTCCTACTCTTCTGCCATGATGTTGATCGGGCATTTAACCCAACTAAAGCTACATCATTAGGGTTTTTTGCACATAAGTGTGGAAATGGATGCACCTAAATGTAGAAGTGAAAGAACTATGAACTGAATTATTAACTTGTGTTGTTCGTCTATCACGATTGATGAAGACCACTTTCATCCAAAGTGATGATATCTGGATGAAAGTGACTTGCGTAAGGACTTGAATTTAAGTTAGGAAGAGTTGCGTAATTCGTCGACCTCACTCTCTCGCCTGTGTCCATCTTGATCCAATGGCAGGACAATGTCGAGACGAATGGAAATAGAGCTAGGTGCAGTGGATAACCAAGGCGTCTTAATTACCCTGCCTTACTAGAAGCTCTCCACAGAGCCTGCTGGTAATCGCCTTCTTGTCCGTTGAACCAAAAAGAGGTTTCATCCGCACAATCCGCCGAGTCTAGATTTTGCATGCAGGGTAGGCATATGCCAATCATCGAGTGGTTTAAAACCAGGTCGGCTACCATCTCCTGGTTTAGCCAGCCCGTCAAATCTGTTGCCGTTGAGTGGCCGCTGTCGCATGCTGACAGGTACTAGGAGCGTGTCTTAATTAACTACTTACCCCCAGGATCTGCAAAGGCGAAGGCCACGGCTTCCATTATAACAGTGACTCCGTTGGTTATAAACACCTGTGCCAGAATATACAGTTTTTTTAAATTACCGGTGTTAAAGTCATAGATAGTGTCAAAAGTCGAGGTCAGAAACAGTTTAAATGTCTAAATGTATGCACAAATAGGAGTAAGCGATATTTCCAATGTCTGGTGTCTTTATTTGGGTAACGGGTTAGAATAAATAAAACAACAGTACATGACAGGAGTTGGATGGTGGTACTTAAGAGGCCCTAGTCTTGATTAAGTGTGTTGTAGCAGCAACAGCAGCAGTAGCAGTAGAAGCAGCAGCAGCAGTAGAATTAGAACCCGTAGCAGTAGTAGCAGCAGTAGTAGTAGTAGTAGTATTAGTAGTAGTAGCAGCAGCAGGAGTATTAGTAGTAGCAGAGTAGCAGTAGTAGTAACAGCAGCAGCAGTCGTAGTAGCAGCAGTAGTAGTAGTAGTAGCAGCAGCAGCAGCAGCAGTAGTAGTAGCAGCAGCAGCAGCAGCAGCAGTAGTAGTAGCAGCAATTGTAGTATGAGCAGCAGCAGCAGTAGTCGTAGTAGTAGTAGTAGTAGTAGTAGTAGTAGTAGTAGTAGTAGTAGTAGTAGTAGTAGTAGTAGTAGTAGAAGTAGTAGTAGTAGTAGTAGTAGCAGCAGCAGCAGCAGCAGCAGTAGTAGTAGTAGTAGTAGCAGCAGTAGCAGCAGCATCAGCATTAGTAGTTGTAGTCTAATAAGTAGTAGTAGTAGTAGTAGTAGTAGTAGTAGTAGTAGTAGTAGTAGTAGTAGTAGTAGTAGTAGTAGTAGTAGTAGTAGTAGTAGTAGTAGTAGTAGTAGTAGTAGTAGTAGTAGTAGTAGTAGTAGTAGTAGTAGTAGTAGTAGTAGTAGTAGTAGTAGTAGTAGTAGTAGAGGTAGCAGTAGCAGCAACAACAGTAGTGCAGCGAATGGCAAATAAATACAATATTTGAAATTAGATGAAACATATCAATTAAAAAAAAAATATCCAATGATCGGTTCTTGCTTTTAGGTCATTACTGAACAATTGTTTAGATGTTTTAGAAGTTCTACTTTATTGAGTATTTTTGCTTCCTATTTCAGTGTCTATTTTTTGCGCTTCTTTGTCCGATTCCTCTCAGAATGTGCCCTCTATATCGCCGTCTTCTTTATACATCTCTAAGTAGATGACGAATTTTTTATAAAAGGCAGAGAGAAATTTCAATATCAGCTGAAGAGTGACGTTTTCAACAGAAAAAAGTTTAGGTCCAATATGGCGTCAGGCAGGCTTACTGTTTTTAGTCTTGGTAAGTTTTTGCTTGTGACAATAGTAAGCCATCGCAGTTTCCTCCTATATATGGACTGAGAGTACATAGTTCCGTTGCCCAGCTACCGATCTGAGTGAATAGCGCCACTCTATGAGCCTGCAGATTCATTTGGAATGCTTTGTCGTTGTGCACAACCTGGTTTGTACCGCAAACTGCATGTAAAGAAAATGCTAGTAGCCTGATACCTTAGAAATAGTCGTACTTTATGCTATATTGCGTGTGCAACTAATGTTTAGCTGTTACTGCAGCGGCCATCAACGATTAACTGCATTTCTAGCGTCGGTGGGCTTTTGTTAATATTTCTAACGACTGCCTCGGTCACTTAAAGCCTATGTGTGTTACTGGCTTTGCTGTGGCTGCAGCCTGTGACGATCATTTTATAATGCTTAGCTAAGGGCATTCTGCGTGGTTTTCTTTGGCTCAGGAAAAGGGAAGGCGGGAAGGGAAAGGAGGGGGGGGGGGCAACTATAAGATGACCAGTTATGTACAATCCTGGAACTGCAGCTACCTGATTACCCGACAGATAAGAGTGACGTCAGCAGCCAACGAAGAGGGACCTCAACAAAAGACAAAAAAGTGACGTCAACAAGAGACAAAAGTGACGTCAACAAGAGACAAAAAGTGACGCCAAAGAGAGACAAAAAGTGACGCCAAGAGACAAAAAGTGACACCAACAAGAGACAAAAATGACGCAAACAAGAGACAAAAAGTGACGTCAACAAGAGAAAAAAAGTGAGGTCAACCAGAGACAAAATGTGACGTCAACAAGAGACAACAAGTGACGCCAACAAGAGACAAAAAGTGAGGTCAACAAGAGACAAAAAGTGACGATAACAAGAGACAAAAAGTGAGGTCAACAAGACACAAAAAGTGAGGTCAACAAAAGACAAAAAGTGAGGTCAATAATAGAAAAAGTGAGACCAACAAGAGAAAAAGTGAGGTCAACAAGAGACAAAAAGTGAGGTCAACAAGAGACACAAAGTGATGTCAACAAGAGGAAAAAAATTGACGTTAACAAGAAAAAAAAAAAGTGATATGACAAGAGACAAAAAGTGAGGTCAGCAAGAGACAAAAAGTGACGTCAACAAGAGACAAAAAGTGAGGTCAACAAGAGACAAAAAGTGAGGTCAACAAGAGACAAAAAGTGAGGTCAACAAGAGACAAAAAGTGAGGTCAACATGAGACAACAAGTGAGGTCAACAAGAGACACAAAGTGATGTCAACAAGATAAAAAAACTGACGTTAACAAGAAGAAGAAAAAAGTGACGTGACAAGAGACAAAAAGTGATGCCAACAAGAGAAAAAAATTGACGTCAACAAGAGACAAAATGTGACGTCAACAACCAACCAAGAGTGAAGTCATTAACGAACTTACATTATCGGCACTGATAGAATCGTATGCATGGAACATTTTCTCAATAAATCTGCTCATTGACTGTCGGAAGCTGAAAACAGTGACAATACGTAATAATAATTATCATTCTTTCACGGAGTAGATATTATTTAAACTCGCTTTGTTAAAGATAAAATGGCGCAAAAATATTGGCAGCATGCAGAGCCCAGTTTTTTTTTAGTGCTCAACAAGTCAATGACATCCGACCACCCAAGCAGCGAACGTGACCGCTCATTGGATGATTCAGAAAGAGGAAATAACCTATTATGGCCAAAACGCCTTAGACATAGACGACGATAGTACCTACTATCCAATGAAATAACACGATGATTTGGTACCATAACGAAACGGTCAGCTCCCTGGGAAGGGACGTATATACCATCTATCCATCGCTTGCGTGGTCAACCTCTAGGCTGCTTTCATTACATCTAAGTGACAGGACTCTCTGCGGTACACTGTCTCAAGGTAGTCACGACACATGTCCGAATAATTTCATCTGTTGTCTCTTGATGTAGTTTAGTACCACAGGAGTTACGTGCTACACAAACTGAACATTTATTCAGGGTCTGTGTGGTTGAATGGCTAAGTCGTTAGGTGACTAAGTGGCGAACTGGCTAAGTAATTATGTAGCTAAATGGTTAAGTGATAAGGCTGTCAAGTAGCTAAGTGGTTAAGTGACTAACTCATTAAGTGGCTAAGTGGCGAACTGGCTAAGTAGTTAGGCAGCTAAATTGTTAAGTGGTTTGGTTGTCAAGTAGCTAAGTGGTTAGGTTGTCAAGTAACTAAGTGGTTACGTGGTGAGGTTGTCAAGTAGCTAAGTGGTTAAATGGCTAACTCATTAATTGGTTAAGTGGTTAAGTGGCTAAGTGGTTAGGTAGGTGGTTAGGTAGCTAAGTGGTTAAGTGGTTAAGTGGTGTGGTTGTCAAGTAGCTAAGTGGTTAAGTGGTTAGGCTGTCAAGTAGCTAGGTGGTTAGGTTGTCATGTAGCTAAGTGGTTACGTGGTGAGGTTGTTAAGTAGCTAAGTGGTTAAATGGCTAACTCATTATTTGGTTAAGTGGTTAAGTGGCTAAGTGGTTAGGTAGGTGGTTAGGTAGCTAGGTGGTTAAGTGGTTGAGTTGTCAAGTAGCTAAGATGGTTAAGTGGCTAAATGGGTAAATCGCTAAGTGGTTAACTTGACAAGTGGTAAAATGTGGTTAACTGTCTAAGTGTTTAAGTTGTCAAGTGGTTAAGTGATTAAATGTCTAAGTGGTTAAGTGGCTATGTGGTTAAGTAACTAAGTGGCTAAGTGGTTAAGTTGTCAAGTGGCTAAGTGGTTAAGTTATCGAGGGGCTAAGTGGCTAAGTATTTGAACCATTTGCCTCTTAAAAGCTGTGCCGTCGCTTTATGGACTCCCTCGTTCGATTCATATGCTCTACATTTACAAACCCCGAGGATCGTCGCCGGAATTACTGGATGTGTGATTTATGCGACGTTCTCGACAGGCCGCTCTTAAAAAGGAGATCGAGTAACATGGGATAACGACCGGGTACCATGAAGCTGATCTTCCTAATTTTAAAACTCTAAACCACTTAAACATTTGTTGTCTCTGAAGCTAAGTCTGACAAATAAAACACCAAGTATGCTCAAAAGCTGTCTATGTGTATCAAGCAAGGTATGGTGTGTCTATATTGTCAAAGTTTTGCTTTGTTGCGCACGTAAAAAAATCCCTTGGCAGTTGGAAATCGAAAAGAGTAGCCAAACGGTGCTGCACGGGCAAAATTTGGAGTTCAAAATCTACCCAAAGTAATTCAGGATCCTCACCGGTGCTACAGAGCCCGTGCACTGTGCTGTTAGAAGAAGAACGGAGCACTTATGGGTTACTACCCGTGTGTCATGATGTTGATCCATTGTTCAAACCTCAAAGTTTTGTCTGAGCATGCAAAAAGGAAAACGACATATAAAATAACGTACACACATTTTATTAGTCACATGTATTTTCCTGTTTTTGCAATTTTCTTATTTCAGGTTTAACTGATGATAACTGCGAGAAAATATGTGGTTCTGCTTTTGGACAGCTTCTGTGTTTTGTTTACTATCTACCCTATCTTACCTGCTGTGTAAGATTACTTCTAAACATCATTAATTTTCAATGTGGCAGGCCAAATGAGCTCTGTCATAGGAAATGATTCTAAAAAGGTGTTCCCAAGTCAAACAGGTTGGGAATCACTGGTCTAGCTTGAGGGAAAACATCGAAAGGTGGCCCAGGAAATGGAACGTGTCGCCCATTTTTTGGTGGGGATGAATCGATATACGTGGTCAACTTATCTGCCTGGTCAGATAAGTCAGTCCTTTCTAAAATAGATGACCTTCAATGCCTTGTCAAACTTTCAACATCTCACGTGGTTTCTCCTGCCTCTCTTCTTTTTCCTGTACCCTTGTCAAGAAAAAAAACATCATCACACTCCACCATATGGCTATTAGAAGAGTGAATGATCACGATAAAAACATCACCACATGACTACAAGAAGAAGAGTAAATGAAGAACGAACAGAGTGAAAGTTATAAATTGTTCTGCTTACCCCACGTTTCCTGTGGCTTTCTCATAATACAACAACTCTTTCGGCTCGGGCAGTTTAGCGATAGCACTCATCTAAGACGATAAAAGACGTGTATTATAATACATATTCATAAATAAGTTTAGGATAAACCGTGGAGAGGAATGGATACCCATACTACACGAATACAAGGGAATCAGCAATCATCTCATTAACATTTGCAAAAGCCTGTACACACGTAGTAAATGCTGCAAAAGATCAAATACAGGATTGTCAATAACTTTTATAGTGAACTCTGGTGTGGGTCAGGGCTGTGTACTATTGCCACTTCTTTTTATAACAAACATGGATACTATATGTAAGGAAACGAACTATAATCACGAAGAAGATATTACAGAATTACTATTCGCCGACGACCAGGAACTCATAGCAAAAAGTCGGAATGCCTACAGAATCACCTAAATGAAATTAATAACCCCAAAAAAAAGGGGGGGGGGGGAGGGGGATATGATATGAAAGTAAACACTACGAAGACAGAGACAATGGTGATAGATAGACAGAAAGACAATTTAGGAATAAAATTAAACAATAACGTCTCAAGACAAACAGAGGAATTCAAGTATTTGGGAGCAATTTTCATATCCGATGGAAAACTGGACAGAGAAATTAGCTCGAGATGTGCCAAAGCTAATTAAGTAATGGGGCCACTATCTTCCCTGTTGACACACACGCAGGTACTCTGGAGTGAATCTTATCAGAACTATTTTTTGGCCAACACTATGCTATCAGTGACAAACGTGGACACTTACATCCTAAAACAAACGTACAATTGTGACAACAGAAATTAAATGCCCTAGAAGAGTTGAAGGAGTTTCAAGAAAAGACAGAATACGAGATCACGAAATCAGACGAATGCTAGGAAAAAAGTCAGTCTTACAGGTCATCAAAGAACACAAATGATGAAGTGGTTTGGACACCTAACAGGAATTTTCTAGTACTATCTACCACAGCGAGCCATACTAAAACGTTACAACGGGTATAGAGCGAGTGGAAGACCTCGGAAAATATGGAGAGATGGCATTAAGAACAGCCTTACAGAAATGAGCATCAATCTTAATAATGCTCTTGACAGAGCTCATAAACGATCATTACACCCCCCCCCCCCCACCCCCACCCCCCAATCCCCGACATTTCGCAGAGGAACAAGATGGACGAGAAGAAGACGAAGAAGTAGTTGAAGCAGAAGTGAAAGCATTGGTAGAGGAACACTCATCATTGCAAGACGCTGTTATATATACAGAAGGTTCTGTGATTCACGAGAAGCGAAGTGCATGGGCTTTCATGGCAAGAATCAGAGGGAAAGTTATTACAGAAGACAGTGGAGCCTTTGCTTCTACCACCAGCAGCATGACAATGAAGGTCATGGCTGTGACAAGCCCCCTAGAATGGCTGAAAACTCTGAAGTTCACCACTGCATGTTTGCTTAGCGACTCAGTGAGCACGCTAAAGAAGATCAAGGTGGGGTACATACGGAAACAGTGGCTCCATCTGATTCATCATGCAGCGTTTCGCAAAATCACCTTCATTTTTGTCCCAGGGCATGTTGGTATGAAAGGCAGTGAGAGAGCAAATGCCGTGGCTGGCAGTGCGACTATCAGGAATGTACCCGCTATGAACAGGAGAGACATCATCAATACAATACGAGAGACTAAATGCTGTGAGGCTTTTATTTTCGTGGACTGCATACACTAGGTGTACTAATTAGAACCGCGAGACAGAGAAGATCAGAGCACTTATGGTCATGCCCGATTTGCGATGCAGATAATGATAATCTCTGGCATAAACTTTGAAATAAGTTTAGGAACAGCACTCATCTAAGATCATTTAAGACACGAATTATCTAACATATTCAGAAACAAGGTTCAACAATGGTGCTCGATACTGTATACAAAAAGGGGACATTGCATACATGGCAAAGTATCTAGGGTAGGATTAGAATTCAACCACACCCATAAGAGTCCCCCAGACGATGGCGACTGCTGTGTTCCTACAGGTGAGTGAGACTGGCGACTACAATAAACCCATATCAAAGCCAGGTCCAAGACTATCCAACAAAACTATAATATACCACCAAAAGTCATTTATGCCAGTGCAATCGATCTCGTTTATTACAGACGCACAAATTACGACAACGAATCAATGATCAATGAATGAACACTGTCTCTCTACTAAATTCTGCCAAGAACACACACTGACGGTCTCCAAAGGCCACGCCATCTCAAAAAGGGAAACTTTGCCTTCACTTGCCTCGAGTTCATAACAAAGAAGCATTCCGCTATGCGCCCACTCCTCATATAGCCTATAATCTCAAATACCGCTATATGAGCCGCATTGATGGGGGGAAGCAGACAAAGTGGCGCTGCTATAACAAATACCCATAATGTTACATCAGCAGCCAGCAAGTGCCGACCAACACTCGTGAAATATAATAAACCAAGTCACACCTTGGTCAGACGAAGCACCTGGATCCAGCCGTCAGGTCCCTCTATCTGCCCTAACTGGCAGCATTCAGAATTATAATATTCAGAATTCAACTGGACAGCTCATACGCTCCAAAGGAGTAAAACAACACACACTCATACACTTCCAGGTTCTAGAACAATTCTCGCACACCAACCTATTCCAGGTCGTGCCGGGCTATGATACTGAGGTGTGGCCGCACCAAACGGCACCGTAAGGGGGCAGCATAAGCAGCGAAATTAAAATACAATTTGAACACTTCAGAGGCGGCAGTTCTAAGACTTTCATCATAGTGAGAACATCGACCGCAAGGCGCTCATCCTATTCCACTAACCAAGAGCAGCTAGCAACTGAATCAAGAAAAGTTATAAAACCGAACGAAAAATATATTAACAAGCTTCACAATATAAAAAATACAAACAAAACGTGCACGTTGCGGCTTTGGAGCCTTCATCTGCATATTCACAAATCAAACAATACCACACAAATACACTGAATCACTTAGCTGCTACCTCGAAGCAGCCGGGTTGATGATTTCTCAGCAGACTGCCAAAACACGTGTACCAGGGGAATAAATACCCCCCCCCCCCCCCCCCCCCCCCCCCCCCCCGTGGAGTGCTAGGGGACATAAGTGGTGGGTTTTAGATAAAAATGTGTGGGCATTTAAATCCCCTGGGAGTATAAATGAAACTGTGTTGGCAGTTCAGTTCTTTGGGTGTTAAAGTTCCCAAAGTGCAACTAAATCAGACTGACACTAAATTATCTACCAGCATTGGATCTTACACTTTCCACGCAACCTTTTTGGTGGCAACCGTTCTCTCGAGATTCACTAGAATCTGTTTATTGTAATATAATACCGGTTATTATCAGGTTTTAGAAGCTTCAAAAAATTATTAATACCTGCCTTTTCTATCAACAGATCTTCGCAGAGTTTGTTCTCTGCCAGTCCAAAGTCAACGACACCCTGCAAACAGAAAACAGGATACGAACCAATCATGGGGAAATCTTGGTATTTAACCACTGTACTTTCTCTGTTACTTGTGACACAGAGACAGACTATTTCGTCCCTACCAAGGCGAATATCATTAAAAAAAATATTTTTTGCCGACATTATGCAATCAGTGTCAAACACGGACCGTTAGTGCAACTAATGAGCAGATAATCATAGCAACTGGGGTGAAATACCTTAGAAGAGCGGCTGAAATAACAAGAACTGATTAAATTATAAACGAAGAAGAAGTAAACAGTTCTCTTCATGCCACCATGACACTTAACACTGCCAAAATATCTCTGATTTCAGGACAAGATGCTGTTTGTTTGTTTGTTTGTTTTAGTATCCAGAAGCCATGAGTTATTAACCCTTAAGCTTGGTATTATAGATATGGCAATCTTTCGGCCTTGATTCCATTGTAAATACCGTAAATCTGGGAGAAAATGTGCCTTTCCTGCCTACCCCCGGGATTGAACCTGGACCACAAGGAGTTCTTCACCCGGTCTCCACGCAATCCGGTTTAGCCAACTACGCTAGAGAGCCGGGCCTGGATGCTGTTTATGAGCCGGTTCTCTTTGATGCCCAGATCATGGAAACAACTTCTACAGGTGATACAGATACGGCAGAAAACTGAAAATTGAAGACAAATTAGTTCTTTTTGTTCCATATAGTTATTTCTCTGACTCTTATACCCCAAGCTGCCCCATACGTGATAGTTGCTCACCGTAGAGTTATAATAACTGTGAAACTGACCAGGATGAATTAATTTAGCAGCTCTTTTAGAATAGTCAGTTAGTCGACCGATTATTACCATTTACATCAACCTAATTAGTCCATAAACGCTCAGATCCCGTCCTCAGTAAATCCCCCAGCGTGTAGCCGCTAATGACACCAGTTCTTTGTTGACTTATTCTTCTTTGGCTTCTAGCGTATTGCAAATACCTGAATAACCCGCTTTTAGTGTTTGCATATTCATAATCCTCATTTAATTCGTGCAACATTTGACATTTCTTTTAGAATATTCTGTAACAGGCTGGTCATTTCTCGCCCGCCCTCAAAAACTGTCCACCCATCAAGCCTGCTAGGGTTTTCATTTTCTCTTACACACGCAGCCCTGGGCACAGACACAAAAATGTACCCATAACAGCCGTGACTGCCTCAGACACCAGCAAGTGTCTACGAGCTCAAACTAAACTAAATCTCCATGAGCTTTCTCATTGGTCTTTGAGAAAGCATGCCTGGTTGTCATTTAGAATGGATTAATGAGACATCTTAATAAGTAAAAGAGTGGTTACTGGGGAATATGATTACAGCACTCCGGATATATCCATAAATGCTTTGATCTCCTCCTCAAATGCTCCAACAGCGTAAACCGACTGATAACGTCTGTTCTGTGTTAATTTATTCAGTCTTGCCTCCTTGTTGAAATGTTCATTTCTTGTAGCTTCAGGATGCACCCTCATGTCTATCAACCTAGACAAGGATACGCAGTCATGCCATTTGTTGTAATCGTCCTCGCGGTAAGCGCTGCGCATGGCACTTCTTCTTCGATCCTTCTGTCAGAAAACTTATATCAGGAGGCAGGTAGCACTGATAACATCGCTTCTATCCAGTGCTAGACCAGCCACAGCAACTGCATTGTCCATATGATAATCTGCATGCTCGTTGCCTTGAACGCCTGCATCCCCTGACACAAAGATTACCAGCCACACTAAGATATACACAATGAAATAACAGCATGAACAGGAGCCATAATTATAAATGACGCACGCGTATGTGAACTCTTGAGTAATCAGCCATGCTAGTTTCCTTTGTTACAGCCCCATTTCCATTGTGAACTGCTAGATGTAACAGCAAAGGCGTCATTCGTCTCCTTGATGGTTTTCCCAGTTGAGTTTATTGTGAATGCCCATGCATTTCGCTTGCACCAAATTACTGATCCCTCAGTGTAAACTATTGCATCATCTTCATCTGTCTTTCCATAATCAGCGTTCTGAATAAAGTGTCCATAATGCTAGGAATATGTTCTCTGCAGCCATCGGCAATTTGGACTGTAATGTTTATGTTGGGAGCAAGGGGACTGCTTGGTCTCGAGGTATGGTGTCTGCCTCGAATGCTAGAGGTTCCGGGTTCAATAACTGGTAAGGGCCGGAATTTTTTCACGTGGACTTGGACTTTTAGTATCTCCCCCTGGTCTCTGGGTAGTGAGATCAGACGCCCGTGTGCATTGTTGCACACCTAAAAATTCCCTTGGCAGTTGGAAATCGAACAGATTAGCCTAATGGTGCTGCCCGGGCACAATTTGGAGTTGAAAATTAACCCACAGTATTTCAGGATCCTCGCCGGTGCTACAGAGCATGTGCACTGTGCTGAGCTTCTTCGGAATCAGACTTGAGTTGAAAGAAGAACGGAACACTTATGGGTTACTACCCGTGTGCTATGATGTTGATCCGTTGTTCAAAACTTCAAACCTCTTGGAAGAAGCAGGCTTGGGTATCCATTCAATTCCAAAATAAACGTTAGTAAGGCATCAGACCGATTGGATGACATCCGCAGCAAGACCCATTCATGATTTGCATGAGACAATAATAAAATCACAGTACGTTGCTTGGTACCCAAAGAATTAAACATGGTAAGCAAGCAAACAAACCTCTGGGTTATCTATGGGGTTGTAGCGGTTGCTTCTGACAGCGCGGAAATGGCTGCCGGAGAGTGACGTCATTTGTACGCATGCCAGAGCTTGCTTGGACAAAACGTCGGACATGTTGCTTCCTGGAAATATCATCGATTGTCGCTGTTACTAAATTTTGTAAAATTAATGGTCATATTAAACAGTTTGTAACTGTTGCTGTTACTGTCTTTTGTCAAATTATTGGTCAACAATATTAAACCGTTTGTTAAAGTCAGATGGAATTAGTCTTTGTCAATTACGGTCAGATTATTTATTGTTTACCATTTTACGGAAACTGTGGCTCTATCTGATACAGCACGTAGTGTTTCGCAAAATCACCTTCATTTTTGTCCCAGGGAATGCTGGTGTGAAAGGCAATAAGAGAGCAGACGCTCTGGCTGGCAGTGCGATTATCAGGAATGGGGCATCTATGAACAGGAGAGACGTCATCAATGCTATGGAGAGACTAAACGCTGAGAGCCTTTCAGTTTTCTGGAAGATGATTTTTCACTCATAGACTACATACCCTGGGTATACCAGATGGAGCTACAAGTCAGGAAAAGCATACAGGAGCCACCCGTCATTAGATCAACCAAAACAGAGTAGGAGTTGTTAGACTAAATACACTTGGAGATATACTCAGGAGAAGTTCAGAGCACTTATGGTCATGTCCCATGTGCGATAAAAGATCATTTTTAGCATGGACTTTGAACTATGAAATCAGTTTAGGAATGGCACTCATCCAAGATCAAATAAGACACATATTAAATACCATTTTCAGAAACAAGGTTCAACAATGACGCTTGATACTGTATACATTTTGGGGACATTGCATACATGGAAAAGTATCTAGGGTATGATAACAACTCAACCACAGCCACAAGAGTCCCCCAGATGAATGCGACTGCTGTGTTCCTACATGAGAGTGAAGACTGGCGACAATTGTAAACCCATATCAAATCCAAATGAACAATGTCATTTTATGTTATATTATCATAATCGACGTCAATGCACATTGGACATGATCATGCCGCCTCAGCTCTCCAATGCAGTAGCTGCATTCAAAGAGTAATTTATATATTGTGTCCATCTTTGTGATGGTCGGCCCTTGTCCCTCCTTCCTTCTAGTATAGCGCTTGATATGACCTAAATATTTCAGCTTCCGAGACAAGATGCTGTTTATTAAATAATATTCCTGACGTTAAGATTTTTTCAAATGTCTACATTTCTCCTTTTTCATAATGATTTTCTATGGATAATAATGTGGTAGCTTCCCCTTGTGACCACATCCACATGCCTTGAGACTGCGTTCTCAGCCTTCAGCAACCTTTCAGATTGCCAAGGCAAGTCACTGCTCTGCATCGTGGTGCCCTGCACCGTGATGCCCCTGCTAACAGTAGAGGGCACGATAGAGGTGTCCATGTATCCCAGTGGATACTCAGTCACCCATAGCTGCGTTGACCACACTGCAGTATGTTTACCTTCCTCTACCGTGTGGAGGTGCAGTTGCGGTGTCTCTTCGCTGAGTCTTGAGACCAGAATGGCTAACCCAAAACTCTCCAGTACTTTTTCTAGAAAAACCACAACAGCTAAAAAGGCTGGGGTTGGTTTCTGCAAACGCCCTATAAAGGAAAGGGAACTAACTTTGTCAAGTGGCAGTCGATATAATCCCCCCCCCCCCCCCCAAACCCCCCCCCCCCCCCCTTTTCCCTGAAATCAGACGGGAATTAATATTGTAAAACGTAAACATTATATTGCTCCGACTTCCTTGCATGTAGCAAACGAGCCGTTACTTGTGCTGTGCGATAACACCGTTGCTTCATATCTATCGACGACGGGGTCGCCTATTGGCTCGCCGATAGACGACTTCTTAGCCGGTCGGGACATTATTTAGGTCTGTCTGTTTTGATCGCATCCACACTGCAGGAGTCATTTTCATGACTCTTGGTGACGTACAATGCTAAGCTATTTTATATGGCGCACACAACCTGACCACAATTATAACCGAAAGCTCCCCCCCCCCACGGATATGCTGGCTGAACGTGACAATTTCCCCCCTCCCAGCAAAGGACTAACTGACTGATTAAACATCGTAGCTTATCTCGTCCGTACCACACACACACACACACAGTAATGCAGTTTACACATTAGTTTTAACTTCCTTGGAGGCTGAACATGGTATTTCGTTTTGAACTGTTGATCTGCCATCAGCACTGAGATTTTTTTTAGTCTTACGGTGTCAAACCTTCAGGTACTGTTGGCCTGCCATTACTACTAAGATTCGTAAATCTTACAGTGTCAAACCTTCGGGTTATGTTGGTTGGTCTGCCATAAGCACTCAGATTCTTTAGTCTTACAATGTCAAACCTTCTGTTGGTCTGCTATGAGCACTAAGATTTGTTAGTCTTACAGTATCAAACATTCAAGTTCCGTTGGTGTGCCATTCGCACTGAGATTCGTTTGTAGTTCGCGGACATTTTCTTACCGACCGCTAAAAAAATCCGTCCAATTTTGTAGCGGCTATGCGAGTCGGGCGCTACACTGTAGCAGGGTGAGCGAGATTTGTCAGGAGTATTAGCAATAAATGCTCAAAACTGAAACCGAACTGTTATTATTGGAGTGCTTGATCTCTTAGAAACAACGCTCCAGTCATGTGTATATATTAGATTTTCTCACCACTAAGCAGTAGCAGTAGCAGATGCCGCATTAATTAAACATTGTAATATTGCTTTATGTCTTTGTCAACAGCCGGTATAGGAAATGTTTTAGTATTTTTATGGTCCACAGGTGTGAAAAGGTCGATGATCGCTCAGGTGAAAGGTAGTGAGATCAGCGATAGCGCATTGGTTAGATGTTTGCCTGCCCGCATGTACCCACAGACAGACATATATACATATTCACACGAATACATATCAACAGATACACCCCATTTTCACTTAAAACTGGGCATGTTTTTCTTCAAACCAATAGGACATTTTTTACAAATGAAACTGGACAATTTTCAAACCACCTGGGATATCCCTACACACTAACTACGATTATAAATATAAAAATTATCCGATAAAAATTCTTACCTTTGTCAGCACAAGACAAGGACGATAATCGCAGCTGTTGGTTGTGTCCCCGATGTTTAAGGTAATGTGACCTGAAGACCTTTGACCCAATAACCTAAGCCCCCACCGACCTAAAATGGTACATACATTACATATATCTTGTGTGCTGTGTTGTCTATTTCCAAAAATTGTTATCAGTAACTACAGATGACCTTTGTAATAGTGAATATGCAACATCATGGCTGCAAGTATAAGCTGTTTATCGGGCACAGCGACATCTTCACGACAGTTATTTATTATAAATATTTGAATTCCGTGTAAATCTGAGTGTATCAGGCAACGAACTAACAGTCTGTATGCATGTAAGCCTGATGTGTAAAACTGATGTGCACGCAAGACTCAAGTTTCCGAACAAGACCAAAGTCCAGGAGAGGACGAAAAACCAGACCTTTCCGCCCGAGTTTACAGCCGGTGAACGTTAAGAAGAAGATGAAGAAGAAGAAAAAGAAGAAGAAGAAGAAGAAAAAGAAGAAGAAGAAGAAGAAGAAGAAGAAGAAGAAGAAGAAGAAGAAGAAGAAGAAGAAGAAGAAGAAGAAGAAGAAGAAGAAAGAAGAAGAAGAAGAAGAAGAAGAAGAAGAAGAAGAAGAAGAAGAAGAAGAAGAAGAAGAAGAAGAAGAAGAAGAAGAAGAAGAAGAAGAAGAAGAAGAAGAAGAAGAAGAAGAAGAAAGAAGAAGAAGAAGAAGAAGAAGAAGAAGAAGAAGAAGAAGAAGAAGAAGAAGAAGAAGAAGAAGAAGAAGAAGAAGAAGAAGAAGAAGAAAGAAGAAGAAGAAGAAGAAGAAGAAGAAGAAGAAGAAGAAGAAGAAGAAGAAGAAGAAGAAGAAGAAGAAGAAGAAGAAGAAGAAGAAGAAGAAGAAGAAGAAGAAGAAGAAGAAGAAGAAGAAGAAGAAGAAGAAGAAGAAGAAGAAGAAGAAGAAGAAGAAGAAGAAGAAGAAGAAGAAGAAGAAGAAGAAGAAGAAGAAGAAGAAGAAGAAGAAGAAGAAGAAGAAGAAGAAGAAGAAGAAGAAGAAGAAGAAGAAGAAGAAGAAGAAGAAGAGAAGAAGAAGAAAAGAAGAAGAAGAAGAAGAAGAAGAAGAAGAAGAAGAAGAAGAAGAAGAAGAAGAAGAAGAAGAAGAAGAAGAAGAAGAAGAAGAAGAAGAAGAAGAAGAAGAAGAAGAAGAAGAAGAAGAAGAAGAAGAAGAAGAAGAAGAAGAAGAAGAAGAAGAAGAAGAAGAAGAAGAAGAAGAAGAAGAAGAAGAAGAAGAAGAAGAAAGAAGAAGAAGAAGAAGAAGAAGAAGAAGAAGAAGAAAAGAAGAAGAAGAAGAAGAAGAAGAAGAAGAAGAAGAAGAAGAAGAAGAAGAAGAAGAAGAAGAAGAAGAAGAAGAAGAAGAAAGAAGAAGAAGAAGAAGAAGAAGAAGAAGAAGAAGAAGAAGAAGAAGAAGAAGAAGAAAGAAGAAGAAGAAGAAGAAGAAGAAGAAGAAGAAGAAGAAGAAAGAAGAAGAAGAAGAAGAAGAAGAAGAAGAAGAAGAAGAAGAAGAAGAAGAAGAAGAAGAAGAAGAAGAAGAAGAAGAAGAGAAGAAGAAGAAGAAGAAGAAGAAGAAGAAGAATAAGAAGAAGAAGAAGAAGAAGAAGAAGAAGAAGAAGAAGAAGAAGAAGAAGAAGAAGAAGAAGAAGAAGAAAGAAGAAGAAGAAGAAGAAGAAGAAGAAGAAGAAGAAGAAGAAGAAGAAGAAGAGAAGAAGAAGAAGAAGAAGAAGAAGAAGAAGAAGAAGAAGAAGAAGAAGAAGAAGAAGAAGAAGAAAGAAGAAGAAGAAGAAGAAAGAAGAAGAAGAAGAAGAAGAAGAAGAAGAAGAAGAAGAAGAAGAAGAAGAAGAAGAAGAAGAAGAAGAAGAAGAAGAAGAAGAAGAAGAAGAAGAAGAAGAAGAAAGAAGAAGAAGAAGAAGAAGAAGAAGAAGAAGAAGAAGAAGAAGAAGAAGAAGAAGAAGAAGAAGAAGAAGAAGAAGAAG